CTGAATAGAAAGTTTTCCACTGGGATGTTAGATTTTCATGTTTATGATGTTTATAGATATATGGAGATAGATTTATTCTTGTGGTCATTATATATATATATATTTTCTGAAATGATGTAGCCTTGGGTGGGATAAGTCTGGGATGATTTCTAAATGTGTACTTTGGCTGGAAGACATGGAAAATGGTGGCCTTTTTTAAACCTTGAAATGAATTTTACTTAACAAAAGGATATAACTGAGTTAAGTAATAGGAACATCTAAAGAAGACTACATGACCAGTTTTTTGCCCGAAACATGTCACTCAGGGAGGATTTAGATAATATCTGTACAAAACCTGAAATGGCTGTGAAGAGATTTGACACTCATTAGAGAAGGGAGGGGAAAGAAAAAGAGGTTAGCTTGATGTCATACCTTATGACATTTAAAAGGAAATGAGAGTTCTATGTGTGAAGCTTTAAATGAGAAATATTCTGTCTGATGAGAGCTGTTCTTTTGACAGACAGAGCAGTGCAGACATATCATGATTATTGAAAAAGAGGACGGTCAGTCACATTGCTTACCATTGGCTGTGTGGAGTAGGCTTGAAGCCAGCCTGTGCTTGTTTATGAAAATAAGGTCTGTAAAAGGAATAATTTAATTAGACATGGGCTAAACTAGGCTTATGACAGGAAAGTTATGGTTTAGACCGACAATTCTCAAACTTTTCCTTTCTCACACAGATCACTTAAAAATGCTGATGGATGTGTCTGTATTTATAGACAAATTGTGTGAACTTAAAGATGACATCATATCATTCCACCTGTAGCATTTATGTTTCACAACAGACAGTATACTATTAACAACAGTTTTGTTGTGTAGATTTATTTGTCAGTATTAGATATGTTACCTCCTTTTCTAGCTAACAACTCCACTAAATATCAGGGCTGACACTTGTGAGTCATGAACCAAGGCTGGTTTAAGGAATCTGCCAGACCAGGCCCCCTCCTCCCATACACACAACACTAGATTAATGCTGCAGATACAGGTAGTCCTCAACTTATGACTACAATAGAGCTCAATATTACAGTTGCAAAGCAAGACAGTTGTTAAGTGAATTTTGCCCCATTTTACAACCTTTGTTGCCACAGTTGTTAAGTGAATCATTACAGTTAATTTAGTAACATGATTGTTAAGGGAATCTGGCCTCCTATTGACTTTGCTTATCAGAAGTTCGCAAAAGTAGATCACATGACCCTGGGACACTCCAGCTGTCATAAATATGAATCAGTTACCACTGTCTCAGTTTGATTACCTGGGGATACTGGAATGGTCATAGGTGTGAAAAACAGTCAAGTCATTGTAACTTCATATGGTCATTAAACAAACTGTTGTAAATCAAGGACTGAGGATGTGGTATCAATGAGGCAGGGCAATTGCATAAAATCATAAAAGCTTAATTTTGTAGTATTTCTGGTTCTTCTGCGTTCAAGGAGATTTACTTTCTAATAAATATTATTAGGATAAGCATGTTTAAAAATTAAAAAAAAATCAAATACAATGAACTTTTCTCCACAATAATAGGCTATGTTAATCTAGCCATTGTGATTTGTCAGGCAAGGTTTATGGTTCCATATGTGAGAATCTATTCAACAGTGGTATACATCACGTGTAAACTGTGACACTTTTTCAGCTGCAAGATTTTAAAAAATTACGGTTACTGTTCAATTACAACTTTAAGAAAGTCTTTTATTAGTGATTTACTGGGGGGGAAAATGTCAGCCCTTTAGAGCTCTAAAAATAGACTGACTGGGCAATCATGGGGTAACTGTGAACCTCTGAGTTTTCCCAGGCTGGGTAGGTCAGTTGATCCCCATTTTATTACATTACTCTGCATTATTCATCATAGATTCACCACCCGAATGATTTCTCAGAACACGCATGAGAACAGATAATCAAATAAACAAGTCTAGGATTGATACAACCTTTCAGCTTTTGGCTATGAAATTATTTGTGTGCGTTTGAAGTTATATCCAAGCAGGCAGGCAGTTTATTTGCTAAGTGATGCCGAGCAAACTGCTCTTGCCAAGTAACCCAAATGACCCTGTTAAGAATTGCTAATTTTATTTGCAGGAGGAAAAAAATGTGTGTGGGGGATTCTTCTAACCTATTGAAAGTTCTCAAAATCCTGCTTGCTCATGGCCTCATATTTCAGAGGGTGATTTTTATAAATAGTAGAGTGAGAACACGCCCACCATGCTGCAGAAAGAACTTGTGAAACAATAAAGCAACATCTGTGAAAGGCAAATACTGGAGAACAAAGCTCTAGACCTCCAGACATACATGTTTCAGCAGTTCCCAGACTGTTTTGTATCATGTATCTTAATTTTTGGAATTCTGTTTCAGTTGTTTTGTTTTGGAAAATGTTGGTCAACACGTCTCATTTCCAACCAAATGCTCTAGAAATATGTTCTTCATTATCTGGGTTCTGTAGTCAAAGGTTTTATTTTTTTTTCTTTTGTTTTGAATCCAGGAATGTATATTTGTACATCTGTATTTTTTGATAGATGCCATAGCAAAAACAAAATGAAGGAAAAAACCTCAATGGAGCTGAGTCAGGAATTCATTGTGTTCAGCCATAATTTGCCAAACATTTATCTGAATGTATTGTAAACAAACAGAAGCACTGATGTAACTCCAGTGACCAAAAAATGAAGAGATGAAAAAATGTAAATTTGAGTAACAATTTAGGAATTATATAAGGCAGAAAAAGATGCATTGTAATCTTGCTGTACAATTAGCATCAGGTCCTATGCCCCTGAGGGAAAATGAGATATATACAAAAAAAAAAAAAAAAAATACACATGCATGCATACACTACTAAAAGTCTCACTGTATTTGTCTTTTTGTATACTTTAACCAAATGGTACATTATACTGGAATAATTTCTGAATGAAGATATCTCAAATCCGTTAACTTAAAGAATGCATAAAAAAAAAATCCAGCAGCCATTGTTACTGTGGAATTCAAATTTTCATAATGATCAGACTACTGTTATTTGCAAAGTTTGGTTGTTGTAGAATTCCTGTAGTCATGAGATCATGATTTCTGACATTCCCTGCTAGCGTCCCACAAGCAAAGTAAGAGGCAAAGCTAGTAAGAATTCAGAAGTTGCTTCTGTCAAAGCAATAGCATTATGATCCAAGAAAAAGTAATGTTCATTCTGGTCATATCAAAGTGTATTACCTTACTCTCAAAGGATGATCCAACAGGTCATAGGTTATCTAGTAATAAATAAAACTGAGCAAAATCAAATCCATGCACAGATTTCCATGTCTGCAAATAGCCCATGCTACATAGCCTCATTAATTAATGCTAGGGACATCTGTTTATGGCAGTGTTGCCAAAGTATTGCAAAAGCAGGGCTCTTTTTTTGCCTCCAAGCAAGAGGTCCAATTACCTGGATTAACTTTTGCTGAATGTGAAAGCAAAACTTTTACTGAAGAGTAGGGATCAGTACTTGGAGTTATGTTGTATCTACCTATTTATCTACTTACCTACAAGGTCAACTCTTAGCAACCACATAAGTGGACTTTCTCCAGGATGATCTGTCCCCAACCTGATCAGGTTTTCCAACTCTTCACTGTTATGTCAATTCAGCTACTTTGCTGCTGACAGTTCTCTTTTCTCTCCCCCTCCTTTTCCTGCCATCATAGACTTCTCAAAAAGATATCAATCTCCATACAACATGTCCTAAACTTGGTAATTTGAACCTGGTCCTTTATATCTTGAATGAGAATATATATATTGATTTGTCCTATAATCTATCTGTTGATTTTATTAGTTATTCATGGTATTCTCAGGAGATTGTCCAAAACTTGGGTTCAAAAGCATTAATACTCTTTCGATCCTGTCTCTTCAAAGTTCAACTTCACTTTCATAGAGTGTCACAGGAAAACTATTGCTTGCACCATTTTGATCTTTTTAGGTGCAGATATTGTGATGGTATCTGAATATCTTTTCAAGTCCATGGTATATTCCTGATGGCTGATTTCCTTATAATTTTTTGCTAAACCACACTCTTTATTGTCAGTTTTAAGACTGGCTGCTATCCCTTTGACATTAGTTTGCCTTTCTTATTTTTAATCATTATCTTATTTTTTTTACTATACTGTTCGCAGATATTTACATTTTTGGGTAACAGAGTAGTGTTGGGTAACAGAGTTGTTAGCAGAGGTTATTGATGTTTTTTGTTCCAGTTTTAAAAACCCACACCATCTTCTTCAAATTGAAGCTGCAATATGTATTAAGGATATAGGTTGAATAAATAAGGGTAGAGTATATTGCTTTGCCTTACTTTTTGCTCACTCAAAGCTCTATGTCTACTGTCCAACAGCCTTACCAAGTTTAATGGAAGCATTTAAAAAAGAAGTCTGAGAAAAATCTTAGCATATAGGTAGGGTTACATTGGCGAAATGCCTTTAAGGATTTAAAAGGCAACTGAAAATGTACTAATATCCAATGTAACTGGCACATAATTGGCATGTGAATATAAAATATACTCTAGAGAACCAAGATGTAAGGAAATTGGTACTTATTCATGATGTGGGAAGTAATGGTATGTTCTGTGCAATACGTTAAGGTTTCTTTTTGTTTCACAGCTGAGTCAAAGTTGATCTTAATAAATGTAATTCTCCCTTTGTGTCATTACTGCCTCACAAATGCCCAACAGAAGGTGTCAGAAGTGAAGCTGAATTCCTATGCAGAATGATGAGATACTAAAGAGCCACATTTGGCAACGAACCTCTGCTATATGTTAAAAGAAAAAAATATGAGAGTTACTGCAGTGTTAGATCACAGAAGTCAGTAGAAGGCGAGAAAGACAATTGCACCATTACTGACAGCTATGAGATAATTAATTGATTAATTATTTTTAATCTACCAGCTGAAAGACTTTTGACAATCTCAACAATAAAACATCAGATTTCAAAAGGGAAGGAGGGGCATTAAGGAAAAAAATGAAATGCTCATACCAAACCAAAGCTATTTATTAGGGCACATAAATAAACTTTTACTTTGCCATGATACAAAGACAAACAAACAAAAAAACCTACAACAAAATGGATGAAAATTGTTAAAGAAATAGTTACAACACAGCAATGGGAAGAATTACAGAGTAAATCTGTAAAATTTACATCAAATTATAAAGCAAAATTGTTGCAAAATATTCTACAGATGCTATACAACTTCCAGCAATAATATCTATGATAGATAAATCATACAGTAATAAATGCTGAAAATACCATGAAATAGAAGGAACATTTTGTCACATGTGCTGCTCATGTAAAAACTCCAAAAGTACTAGAAAGACATACAGAAAACTAAACTCTGAAATGAAATCGCAATTTTTCTTACTAGATATTATCTTATAAAACTCAATGAGAAACATAATTTAATGAGATATATGCTTACAGCAGTGAGAATAAATTTTAGTCAACACTGGAAGAAAGATACAATTCTGTTAATGACTGATTGGGAACTTAAATTTGGAGAATATGCCATAATGGCAGAACTATATCATATATACACAATAGAAGTCAACCAATTTAAGCAAGAATAGTTGCCATGCATACAATGCATCATGTGGCATAACAAATATAATCGCTTACAGTCTCCCTTCTAAGGGGGCCTAAATGTCTACAAATATTGTAAATAGGCACATATATAAAAAGAAAAAGATTATACAGAACTAATAGTTTTTTTCTATTTCTGGTAGTTATCTATTTTTTCAATATGTGTACCTGCACACATGCATAGAGTAATAGTACAATGAATACCTTAACAGTAAGCTTAAGTCTGAAACCTTTATCATACAACAAAGATTTGATGTGATCTGAGTAGGTTTTTTTTAAATATTATACACAATTCTGGATGAAAAAGTCAAATATTTTATGTCTGTAATATATTTTAAAATGTAATTAATATTGATAGAAACTGTGATCCTGAAATAATATTAATGGCATTGAGTGGAGCCATTCAATGAAGCCTCCCAGATGACCACAAATTGCAAAGCCACCAAAGCAGATGAAGTTCTTGAGGATTGTGAATTAGTTCAAAAAAATGTACAGAAGCAGACAATACCTGGTTTGTCTTGCCTGCGCTTTCAGAATAAAATGGTGTGTTTCTCAAGGTTAGGCCATCGTCATATCTCATTTACTACAACCCCAATTTAGCTCATCTACACAAAGATCATGCAGGAATTGAGAAGTAAAAAAAAAACAAAAAACGTGCTAGAGACACTCTCTACTGGCTTGCCATGAACTCTGACACTTAAGTGTGGATTGTTCATTGCAAGATTTGTCAGATATATCACTCCCACTTATCAGTAGAATTCTTCTAAGATAAGGATTTTCCTTTAGCCCTATGGGAAAAGGTAGGCATTGAATGGTTCACCTAATATGATAACAACTATGTTGAGATAATGGGTTGCTTTTCAAATTATCCAGAAGTAGCTGATTATTAAACACATCAATACTATGTTTGTTAGACATGGCATACCATAAGTTGTAAATATAATAAACCATAATTTGCAGGTATTAAATTTTAAAAATTTGCCACAGCGTACAGATTGAAACATGTGACCTGAAGCACCAACCATCCAGAATCATATGGATTTTTGGAAACTGTGAGGATTGTCAAGATTCTATTCAGAAATGCTAACAATGGGGAAAATACATTATAGATACATTATAGGGATATCTTCTTTATAATATGGAAAGTCCCCACTCAGGCTTCTTTTGGAAAAAAACATACTAACACAGCTTTTTATGATAGATCCATAGAAGCCCAAAAGGACTTTGTGGTATTGAGCAAAATATTCCAAGTCACACAAACACAAAGAGACACAACAAGGGAGCTCTTTGTCTCTGTTCCTGAGCAGATAGTCTATAATAATAGGGACTTTAAACCGAAATGATATTACAGAGCTTCCTGGGATGCTATTGGTTCCAAACAGAATCAGAACAAATTCTTTGACATAATCAAAGACATCTTCAATTTCTGTCCAGAAATAGACTCAGAAAGCTTAGAACAAGTATCAACTAAAGGTATCAAAAGGTACACAGATTCTACTTTGTATGTTAGATACAGAAGATGGATAAGAAGCTGAACAGAGTTTTCAATGCTGTATAACTTATTTATTTAGAAAGAGAGGGATGTGAGAAAAAAAAGACATAAATACGTTGAAGGGTTATCCAGATAAAAATAAACAATCATAAGAGAGCAGAAATTTGATTTAATACCTGGATAACTGGTCATAATTCTGATTAATGTACTTTAGAATATTTTATCTCTATTTTTATTATAGTATTTATATTTTAAGGTTTTTTCCCCTTATGTATAGTATGCCAACACATATTCTTTTGTCTTCTTTGGGGGGTATATTTCTTTTCTTTTGTTGATGTGTAAATGGTTCTTATGTTTGGAGGAAGAAAGTATAGGCCAGAGAAAAAGAAATCTAGACCAGCAATATAGGATTTAAATTCCCTCATTTCTAATTTTTATAGTTAATACTGATTCTTCTTTATGCAGTGACAATCCTTTACATTGAATTGTTTTTTAAAGCCACCTTTTCAAAGACTATTTTAATAAAAGGATTACGATCTACAAAAGGGTAAGAGACAGGTAACCTGAGATTCAATTTTGGAACGAATACTCCTGGTTCAAATGTGCAGGCTTGAACTTAACAAATGTTTAAAATATTTGAGTTTTTTAAATCCTGCCAAAATAAACCACATCTTTTCTAAAGACTACATATTTAGCTAGGCACTGGCAATGTAAATCATTCAACCATTCCAACTATTTGTTTAAAAGCCTCATAGAACATGTGCAGCTTCAACAAAACTGAAGAATTTAAAGTCTAGACTATTCAAAATTACAAACTGACTTTCAAAGTAAGACAAGCCAGAAGTTTTTGAGTATTCATTATAACTTTACAAATAAGAGTGTATTTTACCCATATAAACACACATACATTGAATAGCCCTAATATAGCAATTCAATCTTCTCAAGGTCTTCAATTTAGAGTCAAAAGAATTAAAGAATTAAGAATTATTAAAACAGTTTTAACTGCAGCACTATTTCAGTTGCTAGATATGTACATTTTATATATGGACTAGATGTCAGTCTCCTATTGATTTGGGATCTGAACTCAAGGTGTGGAGTAGATAATCAAGGAGAATTCCCTATTTGCAGGTTGAATCTCAATCCACACTATGCTTCATTGTCCACCTTCAGAGCCATGATTACCAGCTTTTCCACTGAAGCAGATAAAGAGAAATGAGGCATCTAGTCCCAATAAAGCCCATTTCTGAAATTCTCCAATTATCTCCTCTCACATTATTTACTAAGGACCAAAGCAATAACATATCCAAACAAGCCCCATATTTTCAAAGTAGTTTTGATTCTTTTCCACAATATTTCTTGGACTGATATACTTTGTTCAGTTATGTCGCAAAATATTGTTTTATTGGGAGTATATATTGAACTATGGACTTCCCCAATGAAGCAGATTTTGTTGTCCCTTTGCCTAAGAAAAACGTGGTTGCTAATCAGCCCCAATAATATAAGTGTTAAGCTGATTCAGAGTCACAGTCCATATGGCTCAACTTACATAACACTGTGGCACCTGCATCACAATCAGTGGAAAAAGCACTACTATCTATGAGAACTTCCTTAATTCAATGCATCCAGATTCATTCAATCCCTTAATTCCTAACCAGCATTATAGGAGATAGCACTAGCACTAGCTCTCAGATTTATATACTGCTTCATAGTGCTCTACAGCCTGCTTTAAAGGGTTTTACAGAGTCAGCATATTGCCCCCAACAATCTGGATCTTCATTTTATTTTTACCGATCTCGGAAGGATGGAAGGCCGAGTCAACCTTGAGCCAGGAAGAATCGAACTGCTGGCAGTCAGCAGATTTAAAGCCTGCAATATTGCATTCTAACCACTGTGCTACCACGGCTCTGGGTGGTGAACCTCTGAGATGAGGTTCAAAAGCTCTGGGGAGTACCAAATTGGGAAAAGTTGATCTAAAGGACATTCCAGATTGGGTACAGCTGGTTTCACCAGCAGATTAAAAATATTTAGAATGATTAGAAAGTAACAACTTCAAAGAGAAACCCAAGACCCTATATGTTTAGGCTGAGTAAGCATTTGATATGCTGTATACCCAGTGCTCTCCTTGAAGATGTAAGAGGACATCAGGATTGAGAGATAGGGTTTTTATTGTACAAATTAGCATGGTCATATAATGATTTGGGGCTGCATAGGGAACATTGTTGGATAGGTAAAGGTCCTCGGTTGTTCTCTGTTCAAGTTGACTTGTTGCAATATAGTTAATTAGTAAGGGCTTAGGGAAAGCTTACCATGAATCTAATTACAGTGCTGAAAAGCTTTAATGACATTCTTACTCTGAAATGTGATGCTATTTACATATTTTACCATGACATGACCATGGATGGCTCACAGCTCACTGTGGAATCCCACAGAAAAATACACAATATCTCTATGTAGCACTGAAGTAATAGTAACACTACACACAGTGGTAGTTAAATTTGTTATCTTTGCCAGTGGGGTAGTGATGATAGGAAAAGTATCTTCCTTTGAACTTTGAAAAAAGGAAAATCATTTTCAGTGCAAAATTAGAAATAGTCTCACAAATTCTATTCAAACCAGGTAACTTAAGTCAATTTGGGCTCAGTGTCATCATGCTATAGCTATAAGACGGTTGTGAGAGAGAATGAGGAGCTGAATCAGAGGTGTAAGTCAGAGCTGAGGAACTGGTGTCACACCTATTAGAGAATGAAGTTGTTTCCTTACGGTAGGAGTTGTAGGGAGCTGTTTCCAAGAGACTGGAAGAATGGTGTAGCTAGGTTTGGATTTTTTGATTGAAATTTTGGCTCCTATAATAGCCACCCAGAAAATGGCATGCAATGGGACAGTAATGAACTTACTCTTTAGCTACCCACTGGAACCTCCTGAATTTTGGCTCTGAAGTCCAACCATATCTATAATATTGCTTCCAACATCTTTTGGTTCCTCTTTTCCTCTTAAAATAAACCAAAATGTTTAAAAATACTATTCATTTATATTATGGTTCACTGCAGAGTCAGCTGGATGTTCAGACTGGATTCGGCATTTTTATCACCTATCAAGACCTGAGAGATGTAGATGGTGTTTGATGGTGTTATTTTCACAGGATGTAAGCTGTTCCAAGCAAAGCTGCCTTTTGCAATTGACTGATAGTGATTTTGTCAATGCCGATGGTGTTCAGGTGATGCCTCAGATGCTTTGTAATTGCACTTATTACTATTATCTTTGCTTTCATTTGCTTACAAATATAGCAAAAAGGCATCAAACTAAAGATCCCTGCTGCTATTAACTTTAGCAGGGCACCTGGGTAAGGATATATTTATTAAAGTAAAAAAATAAAAATGTATTTATGGAAGGAATAAGCAACCTATATTCTTTGATATAACAGTGTATTTTCCAAGGCATTAGGATCCAATAGAGAGTCCCCTTTTGGTTGTTTCTTGCATACTTGGTCACCATATTATATTTTATATTTTGTATGGATGGTAGTTCTTTTTAAAAATTTACTGTTTTTTATGCCTTACACTGTCCAGAATCACACTGTTTGAGTTGGATAGACTTATACATCTTAAAAACTATGCAGAAGATTTTATAAAGTTTTACAACAAAAGTGAAAGTTGAAGATGAAATCACTGGATTTTTAAAAACATATTTATTCTATTTCTCCTTCAAGAATAACCATGTTAGTTTGATCTGTACAGTGCATAGAACAGTCATTAATATAATGAATATCTGCTGTTTTACAACTTCATATCTTCCAAGTTATTTGGGGGAATAAATGTTTCATTTTACTTTTTAGAGCAATTTGCATTTCTTAAGATTCATGATAGTGTCTGAAATGGTGTAGAGTATACAGTACTTACATGTGTCATTGATTTTCATCTGTCAACCTTAAGTATAATTAAACTGCTATTTTATTTTATTTTTTTATTAATTTAGGCAAACAACAACCATATAAAATATTCAAAATAAACAAACAACCCAGCATATATGCCCCTGTCTGGCAGGTGAATATTCTCATTTACTCACAGAGCACTGATAGAAAATCAATATACCTTAGGACAGGAATGTCAAACTGCTGTCCCGCGGCCCGAATGCGTTATGCCGAAATCGCGGCCACCCCAGCTCCAGCAATGAGGAAAAAGTCACGATACGCCGTGACACGTCACGTGACGTTGGGAGTTTGACATCCCTGCATTAGGAGGTAATATGACAATTGACAGCATATTAGCAATATATAATTTTTCTTCTGGGTTTCCCTTTTTAATTAGAAGCATCTTACATTTAAGCATCTTTTGCCAATTTTAAAAATTTCTACTCAATTCAGGGAATGTAAGAGCTTAGGAACACTCTATAGTATTTTGTACTGTAAATTAGAAATAAACAGCAAGAACTCCATAAAGAACAATTGACCATTAAACACAGTCTCGCAGACAACCGCACGGTTCACTAAATGTATCAAAATAGATCTGCTACAAAAGTAAATTTGACCAAATACCTTTGGATAAATCTCAGATCTCAGCAGCCAAGTGGTTAAACATTTATGATTTGATTTTATCTCAGCTTGGAATGTCGTTGGAGTGTCCCACTTCTAACAACTGTTTGCTAAGTTAAAGCTCTAATGTTTACATAGCACTGAATGAAGCAGCCTGGTCTCCAGATGTGAATGCTTCCTTAGACTGGTGCTTTCTATCAGATCACCATCCTAATGGACCCTGCTCCAATCTTCTTCCTTAGGACGTCCACCAGTCTTTGCAATCTGGAATGGGGAGGAGGGGGAAAGGAAGAAAAGGAAACTAATATTAGGAATGTCCTGACTGAAAAGAGACAGTGTTTGCTCTAGACCAATACAACCCAGGGGTGGTCATAGAAAAAACAAAGCATTACTGTAACTGAGACAGGCTCCCAAGGCAGAATGCAGACAATTTGTAAGAAACTTTTCACCTACAATTCAGCCTTGTCACAGTCAGAAGAGGGTGTTAATTCATCTACCACTCTGTGACAAACAAATATCTCAGGCAGCCATGTCTCCAGGTTTACACAGTATTCTGATACTTTGTGTGTGAAGCTTCTTGTAGAGATGCCATTACACAAGCAACAATGTCAAAATTCATAGTATTTGTACGTGGAAGGGAATACGTAAGTATAAACCTGTTGCCCTGATGATGGATTTTCTAACATGGAACATCTAATTAATATTAGCAATTAACATATACATTTTCATTTCTGCTTCAACTGCATATGAGCTTTAATTGGATGCTCTCTGATCATTTACATCTTCCCATGCATGCTTATGTAAAATGGCATTTGCAAATGTGTTTGATAATTATACTTTTACACTGTTCAGTAAGAAGAATTTGGTGGAGAGTGTTGAATAGCTAAAACCCTATAGATGGCACAATAGTTGAAGTGCAATATTGCAGGCAAACTCTGCCCACAGCTTGGAGTTCGATTCTGATGGGGCTCAAGGTGATTCAACTTTCCATCCTTCCAAGGTTGGTAAAATGAGGACCCAGATTTTGGGGGCAATATGTAAATACTACTTCTACATTGTAAACCATTCAGAGAGTGCTGTAAAGTGCTATGGAGTGGTATACAAACCTAAATGCAATTGGTATTGCTATAGGGTTACAGTTTCTTTCCACCGCCTATCATTAGCCTTCTCTAACTTGATACTCTTTGGATGGGGCAATACTTACCAGGAATGATGGAAGCTGAAATCCAACATCTTTGGAAAGCAACATGAGGTGAATATTATTCTACTATAGTGTTTCTCAATCTTGGCCACGTTAAGAGGTGTGGACTTCAACTCCCAGAATTCCCCAGCTGGCTATGCTCTTAAAATGGCCAAAGTTGAGAAACACTGTCCTACTATAGATATTGATCTATCTTGTTGCCCATTCTTACCATAGATTTTTCATTCAACTTCTAATACTATAAGGAAAAGAGCAGTTGCATTTTCATTCAGCTTGCTTTCAGTTCTTGGTTATTTATTTATTTAGGTGCTTTTAAGTCTTCGGATAACTGACAGGTTCATGCAGTTCTTTTTGGAAACATTTTTTGGAAGTGGTTTGACACTGCTTTCTTCCTAGGACTGACAGAAAGTGATTGGCCCTAAGTTACCGTCTCAGGATGGAGATCTACCGGTATGTATCTCACATCTGATGAAAGCAGATACAAAACTATTTGTGTCCCAACATTTGATGAAGTTATGACACATATTTCATCATTTTTTCTTTGCAGATTCCCATATTCCCAAATGCAGTAATACAACCAATTATTTTTAAGAACATACAGTATATGGTTTTCTTTTGAATACTCAGATCTATAGTACGTCATTGTTGCTACCGCAGTTCCTTCAAAAATCTTTGCATGATCTTTCTTGCCTTCATTATGATGTATATGAGTATTTTGCATAGTGATGAAGAATATGTAAATGATACAAGCACCTGAGTCTACCTATCTATGAGATTCTCAGCCATTCAGGTCGTGGTTGCCTCAAAGGTGCTTTTTTTCAAAAGGCAACTGGACTTTGTTTTTCTTGAAGATGTTTCACCTCTCATCCAAGAAGCTTCTTGATTATGAAGCAGAACGTCTTCAAGGAAAAACAAAGAAATCTAGTTGCCTTTTGAAAAAAAGCATCTTTGGGACATGAGTCTACCCTTTAGCATTTATCTACTTTTTGATGCATCAGCAGACAAGGGCTCTTCATGATCTCTGGTAAAAGGCTTTTGCAACTATTTCATCTGAAATGACTGGTAAGTGCTTGATGTCTTTAGCAGGCACAGCAAACGATGGACAAAGTAGTGATAAGAATGTTTTGCAAGTCTCAATCTTCCTGCTTCATATACTGGATAGGGGTTGAGGGAAAGAGCAAAGCTGAGGCAATATACTATCAGTTCATGCTGATATTTGCACCTTATCCATTTTTGCATTAGTCTATGATGGAAAAAAAACTGGAATGTTTTCTAATATGGATTTAAAGTGTTTTCCCTCTCAAAATATATGTTTAAATGACCACTTTGAAATATTGAATTATGGAGAACTCTGTTGTTATATTTGGAAAAACATAATACCAACTGATATCCTGGGTACTGATTTGACTGAGATGAAGATTTACTAATTCTGGATATAACCCTTCTAGGAAAGCCTATCAGAGGAAATAGTTTGTTCACTTAAGAAAAGTGAAAACAAGAGAGCAACATTTTAGTCATACTTCAAATAATATTTTGGATCTTTGTTAAGATTATTTCATCCTGAATAGTAATAAATTAATGGTTGATGCTAGGTTTCTACATTTTGATACTATGATAATTGGAAATGCTGGGATATGTAGTTCAAATATCTCTGGAACAAACCACGTTGAAAAACTGATCTACATCTATGAACTGAACATATTTTAGTTAGTATTTTAATAGTTATGTATTCCTTTATTTGTGTTGTAGAACTTTTTCTGAAGATTAATTTTTCCCATAAACATGTGGCAAAAAATACCCATGAACAAAAATGGGCATGAATCTATTGTCAGTAAAGGAAATTAAATACCCAACACTTTTTGTGATTTGTACAAATTCCTGCCAGTTAAGCAGAAACATTAATATAATATGAAAAGGAATTCCATCCCCCCCCCCTGCAACAGAGAGCTTTTAAAGATCAATGGATGAGATACAGAGATCTACAAAAGTTAGAAAGATCTTATAATTCCTACTAATTCATGATGCAGGCTGAAACAGCAGAGGTGGACAATAGATATAGAAACTGTAACTTTTTTTCAGGAGATGCTAGCTTGCCTACAACCTTTTATTGCATTATTCAGAAAACTTCTATCTTTTCATACAATTGGATATAAATATACTAACCCCAAAAAATAATTGTAGAGGAAAGGCAGCAGAAAATGTAACAGAATATGATGCCAAATATGTATTTAATTATATTTTCATATTCTCTATATTGCTGAAGATCACTGCCTGGACATAAAGAATTACAGGGGTAGAAGAAGGTCATAAAGGTGAGGTTGTGCTTATAGTTATTTAATTTTGAGCATTCCTGGTGAAAGCATAGATGAGCAGTATTATGCTTGTCAATGGCTACATCTATTCCCTTCCCCTCTTGTGAGAAGCAACTATGGTAACAGGCACACATCACATATGTCTTTTAAAATTTTTTTCCAGGTTATTTATTTAATTGTTCATTTTTAAAGTAATCTATTTAAAAATAATAAATTTGATAAAAAAAGAACATTTGCTGTTGAAATTGGCTTCTGTCAAAAATACTCTATGAGCCTCAGTGAGATGAAAAAATAAACCTAAAAAACAAATTGAAATTGTGCCCCTCTCCCCATTGTTCAGATACTTCCAAGGTCAAACCTAGTTCCTAATTTTGCCTAATCCAATCAGATCCAGACTGACTCTCTATTGCCCCCGACAAAGCCCCGCTGCAATCCTACCCAACCCAAAGAAAAGAAGGCCTTACCAGCTCACAGTACAGCCCAAGGATAAAAAAGGAATTGCAACCTAGAGAAAGTCCAACCTGGCAAAGCTGGCTGAGGAATTCTGGGAGTTGAAGTCCACAAGTCTTAAAGTTGCCAAGGTTGAGAACTCCTGCTCTATCAGCTGGTGATAGAGCATCTCCTTAACAGTGGGCTTCTCTAGTTTTGCTGCCCTTCTGAAAAGCTCATTTTTGTAACTGTAGAACTCACCCTATGTACACTGCCAAGGACATACCTAGCTTGCCCAAGCTGGTCAGCCAATCAGATGTCTAGGATTTCCTGTCTTGTAGTCCTTAACTTCTATAAAAATCTTTGCTTTCTGATAGTTTAGGGTCCCTCTTTCTTGTAAAGTAGGCACCTAATGATCATTAGTACTTCACCTCAGTGCTGTGCTCTTACTTTGGCAAAATCCACAACACTCAGAATAATGCATACCAAAATTAAAGGCATCAGATAATAAGTAACAGACATCTAAAATCTGGAGGATTATTATCTAAGTAATTAATATTAGACTAACTATGTAACTGTTTTGAGATCTTAATCCCTACCTTCTCATGGAGTCAGCACTCTTTCTATCCCTTGTTGTGGTTTTCATCATTAGCATATATGTAGGAAACTATCTTCATTCCATCCATGAAGGCTATTAGGAACCTTTAGTAAAATTTGCCAATGAATTTCAATACTATTTGAATTACACACCTATTAGAGCAGGGGTGTCAAACTGCCGGCCAGCAGGCTGAATGCATCATAGCGAAACCGCGCCCACCACATTGCCGACAATGGCAAAAAAGTCACGATATGTCGCAACACATCACGTGATGTTGCGAGTTTGACACCCTTGTATTAGAGCATAGGGAATACAATAACTTAATCCAAAAACCTAAAACATAAATGGGAAGACTTGAGGACCCATAGAGTTGGCAAGGCAGAATAGAGTTGTCTATGTTTGAAAAGAAATACCCATTGGATGAAAGTTGCTGTCTTCTGTTTAACTTTGAAACTGTCAGGCCTCATTGAAAATAATGAGGCTTAACAATCATGGCTCTTGCTTTTTAAAGGAATAATGACGGCTATCATCAGAATGAGGTTGGCCACACCACATATAAGGAATGCAAGGCCACTTTGCTTTTTGTTTTATTTGGGAAAAGGCATGCATATTTTTGAGTGCTAACTTAAAAAAAATATGAACCCAAACTAGAAGCAGATTCTAAAAATAAGCTGAATCTCAAATGGCATATAGAGTCTCTAACTACATGCAAATTCCTTTTGAA